ATAATCTGGCGGGTAGCTAGTGGTGGTTACCGGTAGCGAGTGAATTCACTAGTGCCTCACTAGTGCTCGGTACTAGAGGGATGTGTTAGTTACACCAACATGACTCCCGGCATGACTCTGAATGATTCAACTGTGTGTAGTCGAAGGCGAGTCAACACGTACACAAATGACTCGCAAGTCAGACGTACCGCGTATGCCACCTACTACATTTATTCGTTTGAATAATTTCAAATGGGGCACTTTGGGGAATTTATTTATAGCAAAAATTTAAAAAACAGTAGTTTTGTTTACTTGTTGGATAATATTTTTTTCATAGGGATATACATTGGATCCTTGGCTAAAAACTTCTGTTGTAAAACTGTCCCTTCTTTGCTATTTAAAGTCAATGAGTAAGCTCCTTCAATAGGGATTTCCAGTAGAAATGATTAACGTCTAGCTATAAAGAAAATCGATGCTCAAATAATTAAAAAACTATAGGTCTGACTTTTAATTAGATAAGAATTACGTAACTATCTGTTATTCAAATGATTATAAAAAACGGGGTGCTTTACAAAAAACAAAAAAACAATATTCTGATCCGATTCGGCTGGCAGCCATGACTTTGAAAACAGAATTTATTTCAAAAATAATAATCTATTTTCCATATCCACCTATTTAGCTCGCTATAAGCACAAATTTTTCAAAGCAGTCGCAGAAGAAAGTAGTAAAAATTAATTACAAAACTAAAATCGAAAAGTGCTGATAAAGTTACAGGTTCTCCAAATTCTGAAACAACATGACATATGTAGCTGGTTTGGCTTGTAAGCGCTGTTTAAACAACGATCTCGCCATTATGCTAGATTCTAATTGTTTTTTAAAAATACTTGACATCCGCATTCGCATTCGCATCCGCGGATGTTAGCTGTTAGATATTCGCATCCGCGGATGTCTAAAATTCCACATCCGCAACATCCCTAGTCTGAACGTACCTTCATTTAATTTTTTTCAAACTTTCAGGAATTAAAGTTCCAAAAAAACAAGGAAGGTTTTGTTCCAGGATGTTTCGATTCGTAGGCCTTTGTGGGCTGTTGCCTGAAATTCGAAAAAAGGAAATTTTTTAAACTACTACAGAGGTCGCACTACTCATTCCATACCATTGAAGTGGACATCAGTAGAAGGGTCTTAAAACAAGCTATCTAACGCTGTCTTTCTGTGTTTATAAAATATAAATATGTCATAACGTGAACGCCTGAAAACTTAAAATCGGGCTATTGAAAATAGAAATTTCGGGCATTTACTCAAAAACTGGTTGTTGTTGTTGTTGTAGCAGCAGTACTCAACCCCCCGGGGTTTCGTCAAGGGTCGTCTTCGTCCTCTGACTCGACAAGCCTGAGGCCGAGAAAGCGGGCAGCGTCTATAGGCGCGGTCCATAGTGCTTCTGGTGTCAGGGTCGTGGGGTTAGAGGCGCATGCGAAGAGGTGTTGGGTGTTTGTGGACCTTGCCCGCATGCAGGGCATGTGTCTGCCACTTCTGGGTTCAGCCGGGAGAGATAGCTGTTTAATCTGTGGCACCACCCAGAACGGAGTTGTGCTAGGGTGCACCTGGTCTCTCTAGGCAGTTCGGCTTCGTCGATGTTGATGTGTGGCGGTCGACCACCTAGAACGATGTTGTCGTTTCTGGTGCTAAGACTCGACCTGACTGCATCGTTGTGTAGGTGGTTAAGCGCCGCTCTGTATTTCTCTGCGTCGAATGGGTGGTCTACGCACGGCTCGACATCTGATTTCCAGTCGTGCAGGTGACGTCGGGGAGGCGGTTCATTTCGAAACAGGGCGTTATTGGCTCAAAAACTGGTCAGTCGATTTTATTCTAAGTTTCCAGAAGTCTAGCCCAGAACCTTATCTTTCATCTGGTATATAGCTTATATCTGGGAAAACTCTTGTTGTAGAGATATTACGATTCAAATTAAAAAAAATTCGCTCCAAAAAGGGTCAAATGGTTATAAATTAACATATTGTTGTTGTTGTTGTTGTTGTAGCGGCTACAACAACCCCGCCCAGGACGGTTGGTATCTCAGTCGTTGTCGTCAAGTTCCACTAACGGCAACCC